CTTGGGGTTGGTGAGTACTTCCCCGACGTAGTATACGGGCCACTAGACCTTAAGGTGGTGTCCTAGCTCCTCCCTTTCGATGATTAGGGCGGCTCTTACCACATGGTCGCTGGCGGCGATGTAGAGGAGAAGGGGTTCTCCCCGTTCGGGAGGCGACGAGGATCGAGGCCGACGTTAGGGATGCTTTGAGGCTCTCTAGAGCCTGTTGAGCTTCCTCAGTCCAGACGAAGGTGTCCATCTTTTTGAGGAGCTTGTGGAGTGGCATCCCCCGCTCGTCGAGCTGGGAGATGAATCGGCTCAGGGCAGCCAGACAGCCGGTGAGCCTTTGCACGCCCTTGACATTGCGTATGGGGCCCATGTTGGAGATGGCCATGATTTTTTCAAGGTTGGCCTCGGTGCCACGCTCGGACACAATGTATCCTAACAGCTTCCCCTTTGGAACCCCAGAAACATATTTTTCGAGATTCAGCTTGATGTTGAACCTTTGGAGGTTCGCGAATATTGCAGCCAAGTTTGTGATCAGATCGCAAGCTTGAGCCGTTTTGACCACTATGTCATCAACATAGACGACGATTGTTGGTTTCGGCCGCTCGACTTGATCAGGCTGATCGAGCGAGTCGATTTGGTCAGCGAAGCATTGCTGCATGCACCTTTGGTAGGTGGCACCAGCGTTCTTCAGGCCAAAAGGCATGGTTATGTAGCAGTACGAACCATACGAGGTAATGAACAAGGTTGCGAGCTGATCGGACTCTTTCATCGCCATCTGGTGATAGCCCGAATAGGCATCCAGAAAGGAGAGGATCTCGCAACCCGAGGTGGAGTCGACTATCTGGTCTAAGCGCGGCAAAGGAAAGTGATCCTTTGGACATGCTTTGTTGAGCCCAGTATAATCAACGCACATTCTCCATTTCCCGATCTTCTTTTTAACAAGAATAGGATTGGCGAGCCAGTTAGAGTGGAATACCTCTCTGATGAATCTGGTTGCCAGGAGTTTGATGATCTCTTCGCCTATGGCCATGCGCCTCTTGTCGTCAAAGCGACGTAGGCGCTGCTTGGCGGGCTTTGAGCCTGGGATGAGGCGCAGTGCGTGCTCGACGACCTCCCGTGGCATGCCCGGCATGTCAGAAGGCTACCATGCGAAGACATCGCGATTGGCGTGTAGGAAGTCGACGAGCTCGCATTCCTATTTGGCCGGGAGCTGGGTCCCGATCCACACCGTCTTGGTTGGGTCGGTGGGGTCAATTCCCACCCCCTTGGTTTCCTCACAGCAGGGTTTGAGTAGAGAGTTTGCTCGAAATGAAGTGCAGATGCCTCGTCGTTGAAGTCATTGTTCGTCCTGGAGCCGATGGAGGGCGCTCCTCCGACGAGCGTCGGAACGAGTGCCTCCTCGCGGAGGTGTAGTATGCCGAGCCGGTCGGCGATGAAGTCTAGGCTTCCAAAGAGAAAGGCCTGTGATGGCTCGAAGACGGGTGGAACCCATATCCCAACAGGTGGGAGTACGGAAAACTCCAGTGAGTTGAAGCGAGTAGTATCGCCTGAGCCCGCCATAGCGAAGGTGGCGGAAAAGTGGGCCATACGATGACCAAAAAGTGTTGAACGTACAACGTCCTCCCCACGGACGGCGCCAACTGTCGGTGCAGAAAGTGACCAACATGTAAATATTTATAGTTTTGCCGTACGTTGTGATCGGAGGTGGCCTAGCACTCAATGACATAGGGTTTATACTGGTTCAGGCAACGTGCCCTACGTCCAATTTGAGTCGGTCGGTGACTTTATTCCTGAGCCTAGGTGCTCGAAGTTTGCAGTGGGGTTACAAACGAGAAGGAGGAAGATGGGGGTATAAGAGGTCCGGTCGGACTCCGGCCGAGAGGGGCGAGAGTGACGGGAGCCCCGCTTCAAGATGGCGACGGTACGTACCCGATGGGTACTGGCCACCCGTACCCGCACCCTCCTAGATCAAAATCTTACCCGTCGGGTTACCCGTACCCGCAGGCGGGTAGAAAATTCATTCCATACCCACACCCGACGGGTAATTCTTACCCGATGGGTAATTCTTACCCGACAATATACCCGAGTTTACACACCAAAATATAATAGCTTCCAGCAAAATAAAATCAACAATAGAGCAGCAAAACAGAAATATGGGCTGGTGGAGTGGAGTGAGGATGAGGATTAGGGTTTGAGGGAATTCTGGAATATATATTCTCATATGCTTATATGGGCCAAATATGGGCTATATGCTTATATGGGCTAAAATTGCAGAGGTTGGATATTATTTATGCGGGTATGCGGGTATGGGTACTATACACCCACACCCGTACCCGCATACCCGATGGGTACAAGAATTCGTCCAATAACGTACCCGCGGGTGCAAAATGTCTTCCATACCCGCCTCCTTATCGGGTAAAACCCGTCGGGTACTTGGGTTTCGGGTACCCGTTGTCATCTTGAGCCCCGCTATGAGCTAAGTGTTCGAGCGTGTGCTCGTGGTTTGAACCTGGTGGTTCTGCTATTGTGTACTAGTGAACTTGATCGATCTGAATGAATCAGAATCCACTTATCTGTTGGAAAGAGAGCGCATCCCTTTTATAGATGAAGGGGACGACCTTACAAGTGAGAGGGAGAGAGTACGTTCGCTGCTAAGTCTTGCTACCCACGCCAGTGGGTACAAGATGATGGTAGGCACCCACAATATTATTGAGTGTGAGATGCATGTGGGAGGTTGAGTCATCTTCTTCAGGTATGGCAGATGTCGGTACCTCCTATACTGTTGATGCTTAGAGACATGTGAGGGGTTTTACCATGTTCATCCGGTACGGTAAATGTCGACGCCCACAACACTATCGATGCCCAGAGGCATGTGGGGGGAGCCTTACCGTATGGGAGTTAATGGTGCCCACAATACTATAGGGGAAAACGTCGGCGCCTACAACACTGTTTGGGTTCTGTCGTGCCAGGGAGGTTGCAGAGTACTATTTCTACAGGTGTACAGGGTACGGTCCCCTGTATTACGGTTTGACTTGTGCGCCCTGCCTTACTTTCTTCATCCGTTTCCTGGTCCTTACTGAGTGGGTGCCAGTCGGAGAAGAGCAGTGAGCAGGGGTTCGGTGCACCCCCGGTCGGAGACGCGGGTCAAAGTCAGAAGTGGTGTTTGGCCAAGCCTTTAGGTCGGAGAGGCCGTCAGGAGGCGGGCTGGAGACCGAAGCGAGCGCTTCAGTCGGAGACGCGGGCCGGAGTCGGAAGCGGGCGCCGTTCGTCCTCGGCCAGACCTTCCGGTCGGTGATTGGATTGTCCTTCTAGCCCGTCGTTTAGGTACTTGGGCCGGCCCATGAGTTGCACGTTTGTTTGCAACGCTGGGCCGAGCTTTTGTTGGGAAGTCGGTCCGCGAGGAACCCCGGGTTTATGAACCCGACACATGGTTACTTGGATGAGATTTATCAACGATCACATCATGTGTTCCAATTCATTTTGGGATCGTTTTCTGCACCATACCTAAACACTTCTTTATTTTGTTTTGAAATTGGACTCCACACCATGATTGGACTTTGAACGTACTATAAATTGTATGGAAATGGGATACTCCATTGGGTCCATTGGATCCTAATAACACTTGTGAGTGATTAAGGACAAAAAAAACTCCGCGCTAAAAAAAATCTCCAAAAATGTAGAAAGAACCTCCATGTCAAATGTTCCTTTGACCATTGGTCAAAAGACTCTCCATGCCGATTCTTACCTGCAGCCCAAGAAAGAAAACGTCCCATCAATCAACCCCCGCAAGTCCCAGTCGAGCAAGAGAGGCCAGCGGATCTTCCCCAACCCCCCCATCGCCGCGACCGCGAGCACCTCCGATTGAGCCCGCGCCATGGAGGACAACATCACCGATGTGCCGCCGCCGTCCCGCTTCTCCCCGGACGACCTCGACAACTTCACCACTCCACCAGCACAGCCCACAACGGGGAGGCGGATGAGGATGACGGCGAGGATGGCGGAAAGCGGGTGAGGGCGACGACGGGGGAGCCGGGTGAGGAACTGTAGGAGCGTTCCCTTTCCTGCGCGTGACTAGCTCTTGTTTGATGGACGACGTGGGAGCCTTTCCTTTTCTTGCATGCGTGATTGATTTTCTTTTCCGATTTTGCGTGATTGATTTTCTTTCCGATTTAGTTGGATGGACCACGAGAGAACCGGGGAGACCCTATTGCGGGGGGAAGCGAGGGGGTGCCGTAGGGGCAAATTGCACGGGCGATGCAAGGGAGAAGGGACGGGCGTAGGGGTGTGGGATCGCACCAGGCAGAACCATGGGTCCATGTTAGAATGTCGCACCAAAGCAGTGTCCACTATTTAGGGGGTGTTTGGGACTGCTTCGCTCCTGTTTTTCCAGCTTAGCTCTAGCTCCACGTTGCCAAACACTCCCAGCTTCAAGAACTCAACTCCAAGAAAAACATGGAGTTGAGGGCCAACTCCACCTTTTTTCTAGAGCAACTCAAGGGGTACTTCAGTTTTTAGAGTTTTATACTCCTAAGTGGAGTTGAGAAATAATTACCCACATTTGCTACTCTCTAATCACCTGTCCCCCTCTCTTCCACTCCCGTACGGACGCCGCGAGAAAAAGGCGACCTTTTCTTCTCTGCGCCGGCCTCCTACGCTGGCTGGCCCTCTCCTGCCTCGGCCGGCCAGTGGCCAGGCACCGGGCCGCGCTGCAGTGCCTCCTGGCGGCCATGGCACCAACGCCGAAGCCCCTGGTTGTGAGTGATTAAGGACAAAAAAAAAAAACTCCGCGCTAACAAAAATCTCCAAAAATGCAGAAAGAACCTCCATGTCAAATGTTCGTTTGACCATTGGTCAAAAGACTCTCCATGCCGGTTCTTACCTGCAGCCCAAGAAAGAAAGCGGCCCATCAATCAACCCCCGCAAGTCCCAGTCGAGCAAGAGAGGCCAGCAGATCTTCCCCAAACCCCCCCGCCGCCGCCGCGACCGCGTGCACCACCGATCGAGCCCGCGCCATGGAGGACGTCATCACCGACGTGCCGCCGCCGTCCCGCTTCTCCCCGGACGACCTCGACAACTTCGCCGCTCCGCCAGCGCAGCCCACCCCCATCCTCGTCGTTTCCCCGAACCCTAGCCCACCGGCCCCGCGCCTCCTCATCGTCTTCATCTCCCCCACCTCCCTCGCGCTCCTCGCCTCCCCGCCGCCGCTCCACGCGTCCCTCCTCCTCCCGGACCTGCCCCTGCACCCGCACCCGCACGCGCCCATCCGCGTGTACCTCCACCCCTCCGGCGCGCTCCTCGCTGCGGCGCACGGCGCCGTCCCCGCCCACCGCGCGCGCGCCGCCGCAAAGGCCCTCGTCTCGAGGCTCCAGCCGGAGGAGGTGCTGGTCCTGGACGCGGTCCGGAGCGGGTCGTACCGGGGCCGCCTCGCCGCGGACGAGCCCGTGGAGGGGAAGCTGGAGACCCGCGCGGCGCGCGCGCGCGGAGGCGTGGGCGCGGCCAGGGCCGTCGCGGCGCTGGCCCCGCCTGGCAGCGTGGTGGACGGGCTCGGCGCCGCCGTGCTCGCGGAGTGCGAGATCCGGGGCAAGGCGGCCAGCCTGGTGGTGACGTGGCCGGCGGGCGCCAGGCCCGCGGAGTTCGGGGTCACGCGGCGCGTGGCGGCGGAGCTTGGCGTCGACACCGGCAAGGCCGCGGCGAGGGTCTCCGGCCGGCCAGAGTTGGATGCGTTGTACACTTGAGATTTCTCTGTTACTGCTTCTGATTTCGTTGCCTGTTGTCTGACGAGTGAGCTGGGTTTGAGACAATTTGGGGAGAAATGTGACATATCGGACAATTGGTTTGATGGTTTTGTGTTTGCGTGATTTCATATATGGATTTTCTATATGCCGATGAACAAATTCTGATTCAGTTGTGTCATCGCTGCTGTTGTGATCACTGAAGCGGCCTTGCCTTTGCTTGCAGTAGTACCATGTGAATGGACTTCCTCAGTAGAACGTGTTTCTACCAAGGTAGTCAAAATCCTTTAGGGCCTGTTCGTTTGGCAGGGAAACATCCCCCAGATCCCTTCCTACCAGAAATACTTCACTAATTTATACTAGTTTTGATCAGCTGGAAGGGTTTCTGGTTGGATTTCACCCAACCGAACGAGTCCTTAATCGAATCGAATCGGAGGGCTTTAGCTAAGATTGTAATCGTAAAACTGGCCAGGATCATAAAAGTAAACCTCTTAGTTAAGTTCATAAATAAAGACATAGAATTGTATGGTAAAACAGTAGAATTTAACAACTATGGTATCTACTTTTCTACCCATATCGATTTGTGTCTTCTCTTGCTCACTTGTCAATGTGCAAGTATAAACACCTACTTTGGTTTGCTCAAGTTTCAGTTCACATTCAAAAATCACAATGTCCAACATTGCTTTGCACATGGCAGTTCCCTTCGGCTTTGCAAATTTACCTGTCATCCGTCCATGGTGAAAATTGCCTGCAGAATGTGAACCAATTACGTACGAATCAATGTGGAAATCGGGCCGGATTCTATGACAAACCCCAGTCATGGGCCGTGCTAAACGTAATGGAGTCCGGCCCAGGAGGTCTTGTTCCGCTCCCATCCCATTCCAACTCATTCCAACTCAGCTCGTCTCGTCACCAACTTCCCTGCTTCGACGACCCGACCACGCCAGCGATGGACGCCCTGACGCGCCTCCACCGCTCCCTCGTCGGCGGCGACGACGAGGATCAGCCGGAGGACTCCATCCTTGCTGACACCGAGGGCCTCTGCTCCCTCTCCCCTGTCCAGGTCAAGCAGCCACCCCCCTCTGAGTCCTCGGAATGCTCCAAGGATTTCATGACTCTGGTTTGCATCGATCTGATCCGGTCTTGGCCGTTTGCTTTGTCCAGAGGATCTACGCCTTCGGGGCATGCTTGGTGGCCGGACTCGCCCTCATGATCTTGGTACGCTCTCGCAATCCGTTGCCCGTACAGCTGTTAGAGAATTTGAGCAGCTGCTAGCTTCTCCTGCAGGTGGAGAATTAGCCTTGCAGATTATGCTATTCCAGTCACCTGTACTGTACGTCATGCCTTTGAGAACGATAGTTGCCTTTGACATTGTGGCTCAACGAATTAAGTTTGATGCAGTATTAAAAACTTCTGAATTGGTTATGTGGGCGATGATAATTTGGGAACAGGAAATTTGGTGTTGGGTCACACTAGGCTATTCTTTATCAGAGTTGCTTGTCTAAAGAAGCACACTTTAGCTTTTTGTTCTACAAGTGTTGGAGAACTAGTGCTACTGTAGCTCTTAATTGCCGTACAGCTAACTCCAGATTTGTTTAGGAATCATATCACCAGGAACTTAGGACTTTGTGCTAGGCCTTAAACCATGACTTATTGTACACTATTTTACGATGAAAATCATGGCAAGATCGTCTTCGCATATTTGTTAGGTTCCGGTAATGAATTTAAACTCCTGCTATCATGTGTAGTGCACTCCTTACGTTTAACTCTCTTGTGCAGTCTTTTATTGTCTTCGTGAGACCTATCAAATTTGCAGTCATGTTTACGTTTGGAAACATATTGGCAGTTGGGAGGTAATAACACATTTTCTTCATTTGGAACTTTCTATGGTTCTGCTGCCATTTCAACAATTCTACAATTATTTGTACGTTAAGTGTGCATAACGATAAATATGAGATCAATTCTTAATATAAACATACGCAGCTTTCCTGTGTGTTTGAGGAAAAAAAAGAGATCAATACACCTGTCCTCTATTTGTGTTAGTTATTTTTCTTGAATATTTACCATATGCTGATTTCAACCTTTGTTTGGCAGCACAGCCTTTGTTATGGGGCCACAAAAACAGCTAAGGATGATGTTTGATCCAGTTCGTCTGTATGCGACAGCGATTTATGTTGGATGTGTTGTTTTGGCTCTAATCTTTGCTCTTTGGGTTCGTACTATTTGAAATGCTCATTTTCTTCTCACAACCTTGTTCTCATAGTCAAAAAATTGAATAGGCATATCGAAATTTCACAATACCATGCTTTCTGAATTTGGTTTAACTATGCAGATTCATGACAAGCTGCTAACGCTGATTGCAATCATATGTGAGATCTGTGCCCTGTTTTGGTAAGGTTTCTATGCTTATAAATAATGCTAGTGACCTGTAACTCATAAACCACCACTGTACTATTGATGTTGAATACAAATATGCCTTCCTTAAAGTGACCCGTGACAAAATAACATTTTGAATGTTACCCTTCTGAATGCCCTGTGATAGTCACAAAAGCTGCCATTTTTTTAGTCTTTCTTGTGAGGATAATGAAAAATTGTTATGCCCTCTGCTGTTTTCCATGAATCAACTGCAGCTGTTACTCGTGTTTGTCTGTGTTATGCATGACTTCCACGATCATTTTACATAGTTAGCATGTTCAATCCATGTCAAAGAAACAACCAAAGTACTTAGCAGAGGACTACCTCAAACTTACGTACTATTAGTGGTCTGGGTACTGATAGCAGTAGCACCATTCTTTTGTGCTCTGTTACTCAATGGGGTTGACATGTTTAGAGGGAAAAAATTAAGGCTAATTTGTATACTTACATAATAAACATAAACATCTGAGTATTTTATGTGGTATTTTTAAATGGCAAGTGACAATGTGCAATTTGCAGAAGATACTTCTAGTTTTAATACCAGAAATTTAATGACTAAGCATAATATGAAAATCAAAGTTTTCTGAACTATCTGAGTATCTTCCCAATTCTGGAGTATGTGTTAGGCTGGCTACTGTATGTTCATAAACAGCATGGCTGCCAGCTTACCAAAACTGTTAAGCTGTATTTTATAGATTGTGGCTTGTGACTGGTCATACCTTGTCTTTTTTGAATGAAGGGGTACATAATGTGCACAGTGCACCATTTATATATTTATGAAGTAGAAGTTTACAAGTAGGCAACCTAAGGAGGCTGGCCTACAGGCTACAGGGTCACCAAAGAAAAGAAGGAAAACAGAAAAGCAACTGTGCAAAAAACTATACACAAGATAAGGTGTCTTATGCCCCCTGAAACAAAGCCGCCACTCTGCCAGTTCTTTTGCCTCAGCCAAACCCCAAATCTTCACTTCTTTGATTTTGCTTCTATGCTCAAATAGAACTGGTATAACAGTTATGTGCTTCTATTATGGTTAAATAGAACTGGTATCGTCTTCTATGCTGTCATGCAATTTCATTTTTGCACAGTGGCCATCTGTGGCTCTTAGCGATCACACGTCTTGGAAAACTTCACTAGGAAATTTAGTTTGAATGATTTTCTTACTATGTAATAGCAGCTCTGTAGTTCTGACTGTGGTTTATTTACTCATTTTTTTTTATACTATACATGTGGAATCATTCAATAACATAGGCTGAAAATTTGCATCTCTACTGTGCTTCAGTTGGAATTTGACCAAAATTAAGCAAATAGACCAGTCTTCCCAGCTGGTGGTACTGTGACACTGTAAATCTTGATCTTAGCAAGCATTTCGCTGTTTGTTTGCATCGTTATCTCCTGTTTTCTTTTCAATTGACTGGCCTATTATACAGCAAGAGCAAAATTTTCCGAACAAACCAACTTATTGTGCTCCTGTATTCTCCATTTTCTGCACCTCAGGTACAGTTTGAGCTACATTCCTTTCGCGCGAAGGATGGTTTCTGACCTGATGGTGAGGTTGTGTGACACTGAACTTTGAGCTGCTGCAGGCAACATAACACTCTTCGGGGTCTGTGAAATCAGGGAATAGTATGGGTGCTTGGTCCTTTGCCCATTTCCTTTGGGTTTAACATTGTTTCGTAAAGCTAGCATGGTACTTATTTTGTGTAAAAATGACTGCCATGATGTAGTATTTTGTAAAGCTTTTACTGCATGCTTAAAACAGAGATTTCTGGCCATGTACTGCTGCAAAGCAATCTGAAATCTGAATGCTGTGCAACATGCATTTTTGGTCTCCTTGATTGCTGCTTGTATTTGCATTAGGCCATCGCACTGCAGAGCTCACTATTCTTTACATCTTGAACAATCTTGGTCCTCACTTGGCTAGAAGAGGATGGCGAGACCAACGTTTCTGTCCTCTTTGTCATAGCATGGATGAATCAGCTGTACACTTGTTTGCACATTGTCAATACAGCCAACGAGTTTGGTCTGCAATAAGGACTTGGACCGAGGGACAGTTCCTTGACCCTTCAGGTTGGGCTTCCTTTCATCTCTACTGTGCTTCAGTTGGAATTCTGATTTTTTCAGACCAGTCTTCCCAGCTGGTGGTACTGTCACTGTAAATCATCTATGCAAGCATTTCAGCTGTTTGTATGCATCTTTATCTCCTGTTTTCTTTTCAATTTTGGCCTATTATACAGCAAGAGCAAAATTTTCCGAACAAACCAATATTGTGCTCCTGTATTCTCCATTTTCTGGCCTGTGGTCTAAAGCCATTCGATCGTTGACAATCCTGGTGGCTTGGGAGCTATGGAAGGAACACAATGCTACGATTTTTCAACGACACCATTCCACCGAGAAGCCTAATTGCAAAAATCAAGGAGGAAGTGAGAACCTGGTGCAAGTACAACGACACCATTCCACTCCGAAAACCCTAATTGCAAAAATCAAGGAGGAAGTGAGAACCTGGTGCCTTAAAGGAACCAAGAGACTCAAGGTGATTACCTCGAGAGTAGTCCTCTAGCGGAGCTCTTGGACTTCATGTTTTTCCCTCCTTTTTAAACTTCTATTTCATGTTTAAGTTTACTACTCTTCTCTGTTAATATATACCAGACATCCTACCGGCCGTTAAAAAAACATGTAAATTATTTAGTCAGAGAGCAAGACGTAAATATAAATAATATACATCATTTATTATTCTTTTGCAGAACTCTTCACGTGCTGAGACTTCTGAAGAAACCAGAGTGTTACGCTGCACACGCTAATCGGTGCACTGCGTTCACTGGTCTTCGACACCATTCCACCGAGAAGCCTAATTGCAAAAATCAAGGAGGAAGTGAGAACCTGGTGCAAGTACAACGACACCATTAAGCCTAATTGCAAAAATCAAGGAGGAAGTGAGAACCTGGTGCCTTAAAGGAACCAAGAGACTCAAGGTGATTACCTCGAGAGTAGTCCTCGAGCGGAGCTCTTGGACTTCATGTTAAAAAATGTTTAAGTTTACTACTCTTCTCTATTAATATATACCAGACATCCTACCGGCCGTTAAAAAAACATGTAAATTATTTAGTCAGAGAGCAAGACGTAAATATAAATAATATACATCATTTATTATTCTTTTGCAGAAAAGAAAAGAAAAATAACTCTATGATTTGCCATCACGCTAATCGTGCATAGGCGTTCACTGGTGAAAAAACAAATGAAAACACTGCACTGATCTTGCATAAGCGAAAAAGCCGAGTGTGCTTGAAAAAACAAAAGAAAAATAACGGATTGAAAGCCATCCAACTATGACCTATTGGTTTCGTCATTGAACTTGAAAACAAGAAATCTTTTACTTTTGATGGTCCTGTGTAAACCCAACAAACCGATCACCTCAGTGCCTCACCTCTTTCGTATAGGATTGATCTTTTACTGCAGCTAGTATTTATTATAGGTCTTAAGACTTAATGAAATGAGGTTAGACCAAGCCTAACTAAATCTAACAAGATAGCTAGCTTCATATGACCACACAACATGCTGTGAGTCTTATTGCGATGCATGGACATATTTGCTAGTATTTTTTTTTTAAAAATCCCCTTAGCCCACAAAATAGACCGGATCAATAAAGTAAACTAGAAAAAGGAAAAAAATGAACTACTATTCACCATTCACGCAAAAAGATAACACAAATCTTGAATCGTCGCCACCTTTTTTTTTATAACTAGCAAATTTATTAAGATGAAGAACAATTTACATGGAGAAGAACAATCGGCCCCCTGTACAATGAGATTGAAAACAACCTATGTGATATTTAGAAATTCTGATTTTATTTTTTATAGTAGCGTAATTGGGTAACTTATATTCAAATTTAGAACTTGTCTCTTACGTTGTTCTAACAACAACGGGGATAGATAATGACTCGGTTGACGCTAATGGTCGCGTTCATATAGTAGTAGTACGCACTCCAATATTTTTTTGGTCTGTTGGTGAAGGGACAGAGACACATTTCTAACCTAGTAATCTAATCACAGCTTGTGAATTTTTTATGGGCCGTTGGCGAAGCAACCCACTTGCTCCGAGACTTGCTACAAGTTGCATCAGTCCTAGTCAATTCATCTCCACAGATCTGTCCAGACTTGCTACCAAGAACGGAACCATAAGTAAATCTTCAGTCTCGCATCAGTCCTAGTAAAGAACTTTGGCGCCAGTAAAGATTTTTTGGCGCTTGTAAAGCTCTGTTGCAATTGTTTTTGGCGCTTGTGTATTCGGTGGAGTATGGCAAATGTGTTGGCGCGTCTTTGGAATTGTTTTTGGCGCGTAGGTGACGGATTGACGGTTCAGTTGCTTGAGCTGCCGCCGGATGAGTAGTAGTAGTAAATGATAGGAGAGTAGTAAATGATGGGAGCAGCTGCAACGATTACTATGTAACTTAATGGTGGAACTCAAATTAATTAAAGGTAATATGGTCATTTGGCAGCTATACTAATCTGTCTGAAACTTGCTAGGAATTGAAGCTTTTAGGGAACAGAGGGAGTACTTAAGTATATGGACTACCTGTAATTATATTTCAGACGCCCACCATGCATGTGCCTTGCGTTCTATGTGCCACTGAGAATCTGTATGTCATTAATGGTTCCCACTGCCAACTCATTTGGAATGATGCTATTGATTTTTTTTTTGAAAGACCAAGCAAAGTGTTTGGTTAGTCAAGTCACGCTAAATATGGTTAAGTCCACTGGCCGCTGCTTATTATAGTCCTGCAAGCTTGGTACCCCGAAAAAATACAAATCTAGCGAGGTAACAAATTAAACCATCTCAAGGTTGGTGAACTTTATATAAAAAGTATAGCATCAAATAAGTATTATCAAATTTACCATACAATATTTTTATAATACATTTATTTGATTTTATAAATATTGACACTTTTTTCATAAATGTGGTCAAATTTTAGATAATTTGACTAAA